TAGGGATCTAAGTTTTAAATTGAAAGAGATTTAGGTGAACGGTTCATACTGCAGTCTAAATTTTTTAATTTTTCATATCCTGGTCCCAATGGTAGTTCATATTATGTCCCAACGGTATAGTGAAACAAAAATAGTCAATCAATACTTGAAGTTTAAATACATGCTTCATGTATATAGAAAATAATAATAAAAAATATATTCGTCTTAAGAAACACTGGATTAAAAAAAAAGATTATGGGGAGGCTTTCTAACGTGGTAAACATTAGAATTTTTACAATTCTTTTTCCTAGGGGTGGACGTGGTGCCGCAAAATGGGATCATTTTGTTGTCCTTATACATAAAAAAAAATTAAAGCTTCCTCTACTTTAAAATGTTATATATACATTATTTCTTCTTTTACACTTCCTGTTTTGACATGTTATGCACGATCAAAACATAGATTACATAATAAATGATATAAAATAAAGAAATAAATAAATAAATATTTAAATAAATAAATAAAAAAATTCTCAAGTTAGCTTTTTAAATGGCATATTAGATGTAAATTAAGTCTTACCTTTTCAGAAATGCAAGAAATTAGAAACAAAAGACTTTAATGCCCATATATTTTTTTTTCAAGCAGAGGCCTGATCGAGCTGTACAGTAAAGGCTGAATAAGCGTAATTTCCTCTAAGTTTGTATTACAAACAAACACACGCTTCGTGGAATTAGGTATAAAACATCCTTATATGGATTTACGTGGGTTCGTTTATTAAATGTCGTTTACAGTCATGCATTTCTTTGTGTATCAGTCTTTTAAAAGTTATTCGAGCAAACAGTTACGTAATTTGCGTTTTCATATTTATACCCCCCACTTGTATATCGGAAGAGTATATAGTAATCGGTATGTCCATCCATCCGTCTCGTTGTTCGTCCGCCTGTTACACTTTGGTGTACCTATATCTTATCCACAATTCCTCTCATACCACTGAATGAAACTTGATGAAACTTTCACAGAATCTTTATCCCATATTTCCATAATTGTGCACCTTCTATTTCACTTTTTGATCCGACACATATTTGGGTTTTTTACAGTAAAACATGGACACTTCCATTATATTCATATTGGAGGTGGGGGTATTATTTAGTGAGCTCTTTGCTTACAGTACCTCTCGAATTTTTGTTAGGGATAAATAAGGCAAATCTTTCGGAATGTCATGCATTCAGAAGCAAGATGAAGACGTTTGCCTTATATCAAAAATAAAGAAGTAAAATGTAAGAGCAAAAAAAGTAAATGATACCCCGACCTCCAATATGAATATAATGGCAGTGTCCATGTTTTACTGTGGAAAACCCAAAATATGTGTCGGATCAAAAAGTAAAATAGAAGGTGCACTATGGATAGATGTTGAAGGCAGAGATTTTTTTACCGGGTGGTAAATTTAAGGTGAGGGAGGGGCTTATCTTATACAGGTGTGAATGCCTTGGGGGCTAGCAGTCTACCTGTGGTCATCTGTCATCTAATCCCTATACACAGGACGTGATTTAATACACATTGAAATACACCAGGTGTCAAAACTGTGTTGGGGATTTGGAGACAATTTTAAATAAGAAGTGAAAAGTTGTAAGGAAAGTCTAAATAATCTAATTGTACATTGATCCATTTTTGAATATTTGAAAACATCCGGTACCCCTACCCATTTAAAAAATATCATGATATCTTAATATGAATTTGAATATTAAAACGAAGATTATTTAGATGTAATTATATGTGTTAATTCAAAAAACGCCAGTAACAACCAAATTAGAACAAATTCATTTATCTCCAGGGAAGGGTCCGATCTATTAAAAAAGAAGTGAAGTTAGCTACATTTCATTAAAACCTTTTTTGGTTTATCCATGCTTTCGTAATCATATTAAGACTCTGTCTAAATAAGATTGCTTGTAAATTAAATTCTTCTTAATGAAATATGAATAACAAAGGAAAATATAAACAACCTATGATTAGAAACATTTATGAATATTTTCCAAATTTAATTACTTAAATTTACACAGTGGTGCTCTAAATTTAATCAATAACATTTCCTCTGTAGCATTACCGTTTAGCATATATTAAAATTATAATCAAAATTTAATTGCAATTTTTTTTTTTTTTTTTTTTTTTTGAAAAATGAATATTATATCATAATCCTTTTAAATACTAAAGGTATCTTTAATTCAAATATCATCAAGCAAAATTTTTTTCATAGTAATACAGTTTCTCTATACCATGTTCGGTAAACATCAAAGAATCAAAAGAATTTGAAAGTTCCCACGAGTCCCTTACAAGGTGTACGGGGTATAAACAGGGACCAGTAAGTAAATGTCAATCAAATTCCAGCATTCAATGATGAACCGCACTTGATCGACAGGGCTACCCAAATCATTACTTTTGAAGGCTGTGCTAAAACTATCTGCCTTTAAGTTGTAGATGTAGTAAGTGAGACATCCGGTTCTTATATCTATGAATAGGAAATAAGGGGAAAATAAGGTGCAAATAGATTTTTTTCAATTCATGATTTAAAAAAATAGTGCTTTGTGATTTACCCTCCGACATAGCGGTCTAAATAATTATTCCAATCATTAACTCAGAGTAAAAGGGAAAGCTATTGATCAACAGATTTAATTTTCTCGAAAAAAAAAAAAATCAATAATTAAAAATCAAATTATTAATACAGACGCAAACTTGAGTTTTGTTTTGCCCCCCCCCCCCCCCCGAATAAAAATATATAGCAATAATCTTGAACAAAATCCTCTGCTCAATAATATGACAGAAATGATTAGTCATTTAATTAAGAAGTATCCTTAGGTAGTGTAGATTCAAATTTGTTTACATTTAGGGTAGGCAGGGTGGGACCATATAATGAACTTCTAGAGAAGCACTTTCTTTCTGAAACTGGGGTGGAAACTTAAAAAACCAGATGATATATTGCTAAAATGACTATAATTGTCCCAAAAATGCGTGAATAATTTAATTTTCCTAATATAATACCTGTTACAAACAAGATTTTATTGTTCCAAGGTACCAGTGTAGATTACAACTATTTAGAATTTCATTCATATCTGACGCTACAAAACAATGGAAAATCAAAGATAAGAGAAATTATCTCAATCAAAACATTCTGTAAAACTTGATTGCACCATCATACTTTTCTTTTTGGTAAACGATACAGAAATATCATTCATACCAAGTTAAGGCATAACTGTATACTTAACCATGATCTATATAGACGAAACAATGTAAGTAGTCCATTATGTTTATTTGGAAAAAATAAAGACGTGTTCCATTTTTTTTTTGCATGGATAACTTATTCTAATGCTAGAAGTACCTTTTTAATCGTTTGTTCATTTGGTTCTACTGATGCAAATCTATTACATGTGTTATTTGGTGATCTATAGGAGTTTAGTTTTTTTTTAAGCAATATGAGCTGCAACTTTGAAGTCGGATTTTTTTTGTTGGAAAATTGTAAATAACTATTTCTATAACGTTAATAAACTTCTGTTGTTCATATTCGCTATGAAGAACTATTAATAAGCTTCCATTGAATACAAATTTCATTATTGTCATCCTGTACAATAATTTTTTCTTAAATAAAACTGTATATTGGATTGTAAACAGAGGTCTTCCTTCTGCTTTATTTTAGTCCAATTTATCATAAAGCTTTAAGTTACATACAAATTCATTATTATAACACATTTTAATAGCAAAACAAATTTTCAAAAATGCAGCTCATATTCCTTTAAAAGATAAAAAAAAGTATTTTTGCTGTTGCTCATAAATTTATTGACAAAAAATGTACATGTATATTCTCTAGATTATATATTACATTATATTCTATTTAATTGGGAGGGGGTTTTAATTGTATTATTTTCTTTAATTTGCATGACACATTGTAATACATAATGAGAGGAACTTAGTAAGTTGTACAGAACTTTATTTTTTTATTTTTACTTTTTTATTGAATCAATAAAATATGCTAAAAACAAAACACTTTCGGCTATACATGGTCTGTTTGGAAATGATATCAATAACCTGCCTTATCATTTTATATTATTTTAACGAAAGACATATACTCTAACACATAGAGATAAATATTACAATATTATAAATTTATGTCATACATATGTTTGTAAACTTTACATCTGATACAGTGACTGTAAACTTTACATCTGATACAGTGACTGTAAACTTTACATCTGATACAGTGACTGTTAACTTTACATCTGATACAGTGACTGTAAACTTTACATCTGATACAGTGACTGTTAACTTTACATCTGATACAGTGACTGTAAACTTAACATCTGATACAGTGACTGTAAACTTTACATCTGATACAGTGACTGTAAACTTTACATCTGATACAGTGACTGTAAACTTTACATCTGATACAGTGACTGTTAACTTTACATCTGATACAGTGACTGTAAACTTAACATCTGATACAGTGACTGTTAGAAACCAAAAAGTACTTTAAATCCGCCAGCGGACTTTTCAAGTCTTATTTAAAATTCCAAAGAAAATTCATTATAAATTTATATTATTGAGTTTCAAATATTAACCATATGGTGTACTTATACTCTATAATAGAAAGTATCTTATATTTTGTGCTTGTAATTAAATAGCAAATAAGTTTTGACTTTCTGGTAGCACAAAATATCAAAAACATATTTTAATAGATAAATATAATTTAAAAGCTTCAAGTATCCTAAAAATGTGTAGAATTAAGGTGATGGAACTGTATTTTCTCCACATGTCGAATGGCTCTCCTTTTCTTCACATTTTGTGGAGCTGATGTTTCCCCCTGTCTGTGATGGGGGTGACGGGGTTACCCTGACCACCCCTCCACATCCCACCTCCCTTCTCTCCCCCTCTGTACAGCGCCTTCTCGTCGTCTTCTTCTCCGTTCTTTTTCTTGTTCCTGTATTAAAACAAGTCAACAAGAATATTAGTTAATGATCAACTGACAAGTTGCTGTCCTTTTAAAAAAGGACTGCAATACGTGAACCATATGCATGTTTTTTTTTTCTAATTGAAATTCAATTAAGAAATTTCTAGGTGTAGGGAATATTCCTTTTGGTTTGTTTACATTTTCTACAACGATATGCCTACTTATGACCGCAGTCGTCTCAAAGCAAAAGTGTTAAAATTTATCTCCGATAAGCGGCCTTTAGCTTTGTCAGTTTAAAAAATCGGGTTATTTTGATACGTGTTACTCATATTGGCTGGGACGTGACACCTGTTCTCTATAATGGGAAAAATAGAGATCTTATGTCACGAGTAGCACAGCTCTGTAGTCAATCTCTACCCAGAGTTATCGTTCCATTTATACCTCTGTCAACGTCTACAAAGTAGTACGGAAGCGGAGGGACGTGATTTTTATTTTTAAAAGTTGTTTAAAATTGCATTCAAGACGATAAACACCTTTATATTTCTATATATGTGTCAAAGCTGCAAGTTGTTTGTCTATAAAAACTAAACCATGTTGATATTTATCGGCAATGCGTTTTAAATTTTCCACGTTCGTAATATCCTGCCGAGAAATAATCCCCTATAAGATATGGCGAAAAGGTGATATCTGATTCCAATTCTCATAAATAAACTTTCATTTCACATGTTAAGCAAGAGTATAAAAGTTTTGCATTGATAATTTATGACGCAATAGGTAAAAGTAAGTTTTGGCAAGAATCTTGGCATTTAGACGTTGGCAGAGGTGTTGTAGCGAAGCGAACGATAACTCTGGGTAGAGATTGGCGAACTCACTAGCATCCTCGCGCATGCGTAGCTTGTCATTTGCCCAGGGCATCCGGTTTAACGTCGCTTATATATTTACTGCGTGGACCTCGGGGTCCACGCAATAAAAAAGCCAAATATGTACATGTTTATATTCATAGATAGTACATATCTTTTTCTGATAATGTCTTTCAGTTTACTGTTGTTTTGTTAAAATTCAAGACAACAGCTGTAGTTCGAAAGCATTCTCGGTAATTTTTTTTTTCCTGAAACCAATAAATACTGATTTGTACCGTATTATACGGTAAGAGTAAAGAAAAATGAAGATATATACACATATAGCTCAATTATTATTTTTTACTTTGCCTTATCCGTTTTGACTTTACCGGTGAGCTTGTTAGTCTCCTACCGGTGAAACCGGGGGGACTATAGGTTTCCTCTGCGTCCGTCCGTCCGTCCGTCTGTCTGTCTGTCTGTCCGTCTGTCTGTCCCCGTCAGTCTGTCCCACTTGGTTTTCCACACTTTTTTTCTAAACGCTTGCAGATATTGAGCTGAATTTTGGTATGTGGGTGTATCTTAATGAGTTACAGATCAAGTTTGAATTTCACTTCGCTTCATTGATTTTTGACAGAATTATGGCATTTTGAATATTTTTCATAATCGCTTAATTAAGATCGGGTTCGAACTGCGCTTACTTCCGATTGTTGACAAAAATATGAAGCGAGGAAAAGACGGTGGAGAAATGAGTTGAATTTTCGTCTTAATGTGGATTATTTTATTGGTTTTAAGGCATTTACAACTTGAAAATCTTTCAGTTTTACCTTGGACATGACTTTTGCATATGATAAAATGACATCCTAAAGAAAAAGGGGAACCCGGTAGGGGACATGTATTGCTTATGCAATACTCTCAGAATGCTTGTTGCTTTAATTTACTCTGCAAGAGTGTATTAAGGATAATGGTAGGATTTTAATACTGTATTATATATTTTTCAGAACCCTCCTTAAGCTTTAAATACTTTATAAAGCAAAAATAAAATTTAGAAAACATTGTATTTTAGGTAGGTTTGCTGGGTATATAAAACTTTTAACAAGGTCATAAACAGAAAAGGTAAAATGTCTAACTACAGGTGGTTGCACGAGTTACTTTTCTTGTTCCACACTAATATAGTCGATAACAGCTAAAGTCGAAATAGTTGAATATAACGGTAGATTATTTATTTTGGGTTAGAATCACATTTTCATGTAAATTGTTTAAATATTTTTTTTTTTTCATAATGAATCAAACACCATTACATGTATTACAGTTCCCACACTTTTTTGTAACAACAAAAAGATTCACAAAAACTTACATGAAGCAAAATATAATCCTCGGTAAACAGCATGGAATGAGGATTAACCCCCCGACAACACCCAACAAAAGGACCCACCATGGAACATCCACAATACCTGAAAAAAAAATACTCATATAAATAACATAGGCGTCGGAAACGGGGGGGGGGGGGGGCTACGGGGGCTTTTTTCCCAAATATTTACTTAGTATAGACATTGAACATATCTTCGTACGTTTAGCCCCCCCCCCCCCCCCCACTTTCCACAGATACGTCTTAGTGCAGGTTAAAATTGGGAAAAGTTTTGGTGTTTGGTACTGGAGTTCGACCCCCCCCCCCCCCCCCCCCACGAAATAGGATTTTCGTGTGTGGGGAAATAGACATTTCTTTTTTTTTTTTTTTATTTGCTTGTCAGGTTTTTTGGAGGTACAAAAAAAATTTCTTACACTTAGCCCCCCCCCCCCACTTTCAATTTACTTCCGACGCCAATGAATAATCTGCATCTTTAGCATGTAGAGGAAGACATTTTTTCTGATATGTTAAATCACAATGGATGGAAATTGGAAACGGAAGATATTCTCTATACCTCCAGGACTTTATAAAAAATATTAGCCTATTTTTGTGTTACAAACATGATGGACACAAAATTGTTAAAATTTTTAATCATCCGATCGTTAACACGAAATTGACTCCTATTAATAGAAAATCGTACTCAATAGAAACGATATTCTTCTATTTTATATTTTTTTTAAAAAGGGGGTGGTGGATAGTATAGAACAAATAAAAATGAAGCATTAAGACACATGACTTACTATCTGATACACAGGTAGGGGGTGCGCTGGACCATGTGCCCCCGATCTGACAGATCAAGTCTGACTCCCCATTGAGGGTGTAGCTAGGGAGACACACGATCGTGTATTTCTCCCCCACGGCATAAGACGTCTTATCCTCTGTCAAGGCGTACGCGTTGGCGGGAAGGACCGGCTTAGTGCATGTACCTGAAAGAAGTTACTTTATAGTAATTCATCGACAGGACATCGAAAAGCATAAAGCGGGGAAAAAAAACAGTAATTATATTTTACAAAGAAACTTAATTGTATCAAAAACTAAGCTACTCTCTTAATTCCCAAAGAAAATATTAAGCGCTTAGCATAAGGAGAGAAAGAGAGAGAGAGAGAGAGAATCTTACCATATATGTAATGAATCAAATTCAACAGCAGGAATACTGCTGACAGGATCTGTTTTTCTTTCATTCTGTTTTTGTTTACATCTTACAATATTCTAAATAAAACATACACGCAGTGATATATACACATTCTTCAATTCAATACATATTTTCAATCTTGGTCCTTAAAATTTAACCTTTGCAGAAAACATGAGAATATTAAAGGGTATTTTATCAGCCTTCTCAAAATTAATGTTGAAATCAAAAGCCCTGTTTGGTACATCATGAATTATATCAACAATTTTACTTCACTCCGAAAGTTTATTAACTGCATTTTTTTAATAAGGGGCGTTTATGTATATATGACGGAA